CTAACCACCTGGCCATGCCGGCCTACAATTAGGGTTAGAAACTTTATTATCCATTAAATATCTAAACCTGTCTAAGGTAGTGAAACGGTAAAAAAAGAGCTGTTTTTGTATTTCATTTGTTGCCGTAAAATAATAAGAAATATGAGAAAAATGTAAACATAAAAAACAGTAAAAAGGTATATTATGTTTATAAATGGCGTAAATTCAGAGGAAAGCAAATATAGTGATTCTAATTTAACAAGATATTGGAGATTTCAATAAACATTCTTACATTACATTCGTGATGAATTAATGAAAAGCTAATAACAAAACCATAGTGTGTTTCAAACCAAATAAGACTTATCTTAAAGTGTTAATGTAATTACGCCTAAAAAAGGTAACTTGTTTCAATGGTTTAATAATTTGTTCTTACGTGTGTTAATTGTTTGCCATTACAGCGAATATTCTTTCACCTAAAATAAAGTAAAAACTATGTCGGTAAATAAATGTTTATGGACTACAAGCTCTACTACAGTTGTAGATGGAATCCTCCTGTATAGATTATTACAATGCGAACATTGTCAATTACATAAGTACACTATTTAGCGTGGCGTTATCGATCTGATTGAAATGTAACCAAACAAACATTCCGATTCTCTTTGTGAAGCCCGTTACTTTGTCAGCAAATTTTATAACTTATAGACACACATTTTTATACATTGCATCAATAGAAAACAAGCTTGCAGTAATTTAAGTTACTCGTCAGAGAACATACTTCTCTAGACTTGTTTGATATCTGAACATTTACTTTTTAAGTTTTTTCCGACCAAGTTGCACCAGTGCGGCATTTCTTTAAACTAATCTACTGATATTGATCGCCTTGAGTCTCAAGCATTTCGATAATAAAGCCATGGAGTTCGGCTATTTTGTAATCTATGAAATATAAAGCAGTGTTGTTGGCCATGTGTCCGCGTCTCGTAAGTTATTGTATAACTGGTTGAGCAAATGTCGATGAACTTTACCAGCAGAAGTTAGGTGGATTCCCTAAATAATCGAATTTAAATGGATAAGCAATCGAACGACGGATTCTAGTTTTGGTAACGGTTTCATCTCGTTTACATCGCGATTAAGGATTCAACCGTGTCAGCAGGGCGGTAGCAATATATGCAAAGCTAAAGCCAAGTGCAAGTGACGTTTAATAATGGGTACCTCGAGTACCTTTGAATCGGACGAACGATTGGTTTCCTACGGCTCGAAATAATGGAAGAGGACGGCCCATTCCCCCATTTATAGCATTTCTTTATAAGTCCGACGTTTTGCAAACTCGTGTATATTTTAGCCTTTAAATGTCCGCAAGGAACGAAGTACATTCCAGAATTCAATGTTTATACATCCTGTGTTTGTGAGACTAGGTACCCCTTGTTCCTACTCCACTGAATGAGCATTATAATTCTTTTGTTTTAACTTAGAAACACATAAAACCTATTTTTTACTAAAAGGTTAACCCCTCGCCCCAGGTTGGCTAGAATTGCAGTCGTCTCTGACTAGGAACGTACTCGGAGAAAGAACTATCACTAAAGCTACCATTTTATCTACTTTTTGAGTGTCATTGAAGTAGTATATCTTGTTTTAACGCCATTTCAACTTCTAACCTTCATATGGCTATTTATTTTCAAGGTTTTCTCAGTGTGACCGCTCAGAAGAGAGAATTTCTGACCAAGCACGACTTAACTTTATGTCGGTTGTTACTTACCTCTAAGACTTAGTTTTGAAATTCATACATATATATAGATAGAGTAAATGATGACAGCGAGAAGTGGTAGAACGTATATGTGATTTGTGTCTACGTAAGTTTGTACATCAGATTTTGCCTAATCCTGTATGGTCAGTTCGCCTATCTAAATGCACGTGCACTCATTTTCAGCCAAATAAAATCGGACTCTTTCACTTAATAATGTGAATAATACGTTTCGCATACCACAAGCAAGTAAATAAAGTAAAGGATGCTTCACGGTTATGAAACCTGAATATCTTGAACTTACATAGAAATTATATATAAAGTTTTTGACAACTGGGTCAGGCTTTAATACTTGAATTGCTAATTATTAAACTATTTTACTCGCTCAAAGGAGAGGGGGAGCATTGGCTCAGTGGTAAGTCTGAGAGCTTATAACACTAACTATCGGGTTTTGCTACTCGCGATGGGCACAGTACATATAGCCCATTGTGTATCTCTGTGGTTAATAATATACTAACAAAAATATCGCTGAATGGAATTCATTAACTGGTTAGGAATTAGGCTTGGATTTAAACTTACAGAATTATATATATTCTTAAAATATATAAATGTTCAAAACATGTGTAATTGTTCATTCATCGTAACAATTTTGTATATTTTAATTAATATATCCCAAAGAAAAGGTAGCTTGTAGAGAATTATTCTTGTTTCCCCCGAGTGCGACACACGTGTGGTGCCCCCTAACGGCGTGTCTTGCAAGCGCAGGGATAACTAGTTGCATTAACCTGAAATAACTATTGATAATTACCCAAAAATTAAAGAAACTTCATACATAAATCGATATTGGAAATGAATTCACTCACACATTATTACTATATAAGTTATATAGAGGTGAATGATTTCAAATAATTGCTGATGCAATCAAAGACGATGACGTCATAGTTCCACATATTGTCGCCAGAGGGAGCATTGTTAGGGATGCGTTGCTAGGCCTCCTCCAAGTAGGGTAGTATGTCACTTGGGATAAAAAATTGTTATGATTCACTCCACAGGAACATCATGTCACTTGAGGGAAAAATGGTTATGTTTTCCCTCCAGTTGGCATAGAATACCCAAATATATACTACTGCTGTGCTCACCACGAGTATCGAAACACGGTTTTTAACGTTATAAACCTACGGACTTGTTGCTGAACCATTGGGGGAGGGGGGCTGCTAGTGTTATAGTCACTTACTAGTGTATTTACCTGAATATGAGCAGACACAAAACATTTTGCAGGTTTGCGCTGAAAAACAATGAAATATGATGATGTATTTTTCTATGTCATTATTTAAGAAATGTATTTTTCAGACATTATAATGCAAGTATTAGTGCATTCTATAGATATATAGATGAAATGTTGGTCGTAATTCCCACTTACATTAACGAGAAATTATAGTTATGTATAGAACTTCACTAAAATCGTTTCGCGCTATAAATATGGTAATCGCTTTTTAAAAAGAAGAAAAATAAAAATATAAAAACGTTTCTAACTACTAGAATAAACCTAATTTTCAAAAACGCTTAGATACAAGAGTGTGGAGCTTGCAACATGTAATCGGTATAATTGTGGAAGATGTTTTTTTTTCTCCAAGCCATTTATTATATTCTCTAAACTTGTGGTAAAAGCAGAAAAGATATTATGACAGAGTAAATTTTGTTTTAGTGGTCTATATATGTGGTTAGCCTGAAAGGTAAAAAACAATATTCAATCATCAATTTTATTTGTCCGTTGTTAAGCACAAAGCTACACAATGAGCTATCTCTGCTCTGCCCACTACAGGTATCGAAACTCGGTTGTTTGCGTTATAAGTCCGCAAACATACCGCTGTGCCACTGGGGGGGGGGCAATCATCTATTTCCAACTAATATATATGTGTGTGTATGTGTGTGTGTGTCTATATAGCACATTTATAAATCTTCATAAAGTTTCTGATACATTTTCTTCACCTGATTGCCTGGATACCTTAGTTTTAATGGCAGGAAGAAATGAAGGTCCGTGCAAGTAAGAGAAATAATATTAATAATTAAAGATGTATACACGTGTATATTAACTCACTATAAGACTCGGAGGATTGTTGAAGTACGTTAAACCTGCTGAAGTAAAGAGTTAAATAAAGAATAATTCATGGAGTCTGAGGTGAGTAAGTGGATGTCTAAAGCAAATTTCGTCAATATTTTGATTTGATTATTGTTAAGCACAAAGCTTCACAATGGGCTAGCTGTGCTATCCACCATAGTTATCGAAACCCGAATTTTAGCGTCGTAAGACTGAAAACTTACCATTGAGCTACTGGGGAGCCAATATTTTGGAAAACCATAAAAATCATAAAGTGTCTACGAAAACAGATATATAACAATAGTTTAGTGATGCTTACACTCTGGGGGTATATTCCACAGTTTTGCTCTATGTCGCTCCTTTGGTTTGATAGAAATGTCCCAAATTCATAGAATAAAAGCTCTAAAATCAAGCTTAAAAGTTTAAACAATATCAAAACAAATCGAAATCAAATACGCTTAATTTAGATTTATCTTTTACTGGCTATTTAAAGAATCAAGCTCTTCATCAGAAACGCCCTTCACTCGTCAATCGGAAATGACGAGATATATATTCTCCAGATATGGCACCATCAGATTACCATCTTTTTTCGTTCG